ATTTCAGGAACGCCTTTACAACATGTCTCCTTTTGTGGCATGTCAATTAGGCATTTTTTGTTATTTTGTGCAGATGCTGTTTTTACCGCATATTGGATTGCTTCAAAGGTTGTAAAGTGTTTTCATGTACTAATACAGTTCTGCATTGCCATATTACAATAAAAAGAGTAATTTGGATTGGAACATGGTAGAGTTAAATGATTAACACTGGGATATGTATTCAGCTTTGACAAACAGCTGCAAGACATTTACACATTTTGGCCTTAAACAAATACTTTTATTTGATCCGAAGTCCGAAGTATCACTGCTATTTGTATGTAAACAGCCTCTTGTATTACTGGGGCCAGATTTAGATTTAGTAAAAACCATCTGCACAGTAAAAGACAATATGCAAATGGTGTGTGAAAAATTATAGGACCAAATAAACTAAATAGGTGAGAAATAAAAATAATGAGAACACATTTGCCCAAAAGCAAACTAACACCAATCAGACAAAATCAACAAATATCACTGCTAGTGCATTGGCCCGTGTGCTCGACCTCCCATCTAGCTGAGGAAATTGCACTTTCTTGTTTCTTGTTCTTCTGAGTTTGTACCCCTATGGTTGAACGCACTTATTGTAAGTCGCTTTGGATAAAATCGTCAGCTAAATGACATGTAATGTAATGTAATGTAGCTGGAGTGCCAGGTTAGAGTCAAACAGTTTTGGGGGCCAGGCACCCCGGGTACATTAATGGAAATCTATTTTCCAAATTACACCACATTTATACTAGAACAATTATCAACATTAGATCTCATTAACGGCTGATTGCATTTGTACACTGCCCATGTATGAATTAGACAACCAGAAGCCAATCTGTGGAGAGTGTTCTATTTAAAACAGAGATGTGCTGCCCCCACCCGTCAGAACGACCACATTACATGCTTAGTGATGCTTATGAGTGGGTTGGTGGTTCCTCTTAAATTTCCATGTCCATGCTTTAATGCTCTTCCATCTCTAGGTGGCAGCAGATAACAAATCAATCTTTACAGTTTGGTTGATTTTGCAAGACTCCTTTTTTACCCACTGATGTCACTGATACTGCATCTCTTTGATTCAGTTAATACTAAATCAGAACTTTGAAGGCTGCATGTTTTCAATTCTTAAAAAGCCAATTTTACAAATGACACAATGACAGAACCACTCATTATATTACCGTGTAACACGTTAGAATATATCGATTTATTAAACAAATTGTGTAACTATGTTGAACCAAAGATGTTGATTCAAGCCTAATTTCGGTGACTCTGTAGCTATAAGTCTTCTTGTATTTGGCTGCATTACTCTATCTAACATCTAAAGTTCAGTCCTAAAACTGTGATTGGTGTTTCAGCATTCAAAGAAACAATGTGTCCACTGTTTCATCTCTGTCCGAATGGCTGTAACGCTTTCATTTGGACATTCACACGTTCAAAAGATTCAGTGAAATTCTTTGTGTGACTGCGTCATGATGTGGCCACAGTGCATGTTTCTTGTGTTCTTGTTCATGCAGATGAGGCAGAGGTGAAGCGTCGTCGCTGGCCTGGCGATCAAACTGAGCCTTCTTTGTGCTTTGTGATGATGAATGTTGGTCGGGGCATTACGGTGACATCTGGCAATGACACCTTACGTCTACAGTGGTGACGTCTCAGCGTTTTGTGTAGGTCATCTCGAGAGAATGCAATCTTTATGACGGGGGAAAGATGGATGGGATCGGACTCTACATCCTCTCGCTCTGCTGTTACATAATAAATAAGCACATGAGTATGTGTGTCATGGTGTATGCAGATGTATATGCAGTTGTGTGTGAGCTTAGTCTAAGACTCCTCCAGGTCTCTGCCTATGCAGATTAATATCTGCAGTTTACAAAGGAGCCCTGTGTGCCTTGCAGAAGAGACTATCTGGACACTGAATCCACTGTTTGACAACACCATCTCGCTCTCAAGCTAACTGATAAGCAGCCCTTAGTCCTGAGATTGTAGGGAACTCAGTCTTTCTGCACTAAAGGTGATAATTGAATGAGGGGAGCCTTGCTCCGAGCTTTCTCAAAGCTTGTCACCGACTCATTCATCTAGACCCAAGAACATTGAATTAGAGTAGCCAATAGCCGTCACGCTTGCGACTCTAGATTTTTACTTTTTTTTATTGCAATGATGGGAATATTCTGTCTTAATCAAAAAAATGAAAAGAAACAGTGTATAAAGTGAAAGGTCAAAGACAAAATGGAAGATACAATAGAACTTGATTTAAGTCAACTGCCATTATAGAGCATGATGCTGCTTTTCCACCAGCCTGCTGATGCATAATACCGACACCGCATGGTTTTCTTTTCACCTGATTTGAATGGTAATTGATTCTGAAATCTAAACGGTAAGTCAGGGGAAAGAGTGTTTTTCTCAAACCATAGAGCCATTTATTATAGCTCCCCTTTCGTCCCTATTAATCACAGTGGTATCCACTGAAAACAATAACGCATAACCCTCCTGCACAACTGACCTCTTCTTCTCTCTCCCATGACCCAGAAACCAATGTACACACCACTACTGTATGCTGCCTTTTGTTACAGTAGTGGAGGAGGCAAGATCAGCTATTTTTAAACCTCCACAGTGGAGGATGTTCACATGCATCCTCTCCGTGAAACATGCTGACAGTATGACAAGTACAGACACATCAAATGACTTAATTATTCATAGAGGGAATACAAACTATAAGAGTTGTAGTAGTTGCCCCTGAAAAACCCACATGTAAATATGCTAGAGGTTTGTACGTGCATGTAGGTGTGAGCTCAAGAGAGCGTGCATGTGTGGTCATGGCTGTAATCGGTTAAAGGATGAGGAGGCAGGAAAAAGATTGGGAGATACTGTACAACATAGATGGAGAACCAAGAATAAGAGCCAGAGGTGTGTAATGAAGCTTATGTTTGTGGTTTCAGAGGGTTGAACCTCTGAATGTTAATAAAACGGGTTCTTTTTACCAAACTGAGGTAAATGAAACAGATAGAATTGAGATTCATTGGCATGTTCAATCCATCGCTACGTCAAGGTATACTACTATAGTGTGTGATTGAACATGAGGGATACAGCTAAATATATCTTTCAAAGCAAAGGGATTCGCAAGCACAAACACACAAACACGGTTAATATGAACAATATTGAAATTTAAAAAGAGTGTTAAAAGTAATATGGTAGCACAAAGTTGAAAATGCAACAATTTGGCAGTTTTTAAACGCTGATTAAAAATGATATCTCCTGCCAGGGCTTCTATTAATTCACTAATTAATCCCACAAGTCTCAGCCCATGGGACTTGTGGGATCACATTTCCTTAAACAAATCTAATTATTTGAGCAGAAGATATTTCATTTATCCTGGTTTACATTCTTAAAAAAAAAACACTAAAAAATATCTTCATTTCTTAAAATCACATTTTGGTCTGCGTGAGGTTACAGCCCACAAACAAGATAACTCGAGAGAAAAGTAAACCAGCTAAATCAGCTTTTTAACTTCAACGACTAAAACCCTACAGTGGGCATTCATATGCATGAGTCATCGGCTGCTTTCATGCCAAAGCACAAACAGCCCCCCCCCCATCAAGCCTCTCCCCCCGATACCTTCTTCTAAGAAGGCTGCTTTCTAAAAGAGGAATAGAAGGAAGTACTAACATCTTTGGGTCTCCACTCCCTGAGGTGGTATGTGAGGAGGGAATTGCATGAAGAAGGATGGATCATAGCAAATTGGCAAGATTTGACCACAAGTCATTTACAACCGGCCCGCTGATTGATTCGGGTTTATTCAATTTGGCCCATTGCATCTCCCTGCTGGGCAACACTGCAAATCGAGTGCAAAACGCCCTCTGAATGCCACGGTTCACCCCTGCTGTGTGAGCAAACTACTTCCATTTTTTTTACCCTTGTTCTCGTTCACTTTAAAGCCTATAGTGTGTTGCATAAGGCTCTCTCATTGAAGGGTTGAGGGGGGGTCAGTAGGGTGTTTGACTCACAGCAGTGTTTCACAAAAGTATATGTTTAGACTTTGGTGATTTTTGGTTGCAGCTTTTAAACGGTTGAAATTCAAATGATAGTGTTGGACAGTGAGTACTGATGAAAGCAAAGCATTCCTGTAATGCAACAAGGAGAACAATAGAAACAGTATGTATATGGTGAATTATAGATTACACTACTGTTGATTTGTTAACTGTAATCTGAATTTGTAAGGTAAGGCAATGGATACAATTATACAAAGAAAATAATCTGACTGGTACCACTGACAAATGAGGATTTCTATATGAAAAGGATTTATTGTTGGAGTTCTTCAGGGTTGTAACTACAATTGATGATAAGGATGAATTTCCATTCACAATGAAATTTAAATGGGTTTTGAAGGCTGATTCTAATATTGTCATACTCAGCTTTCACTGTCTTCATGGAAAAAAGATTACATCGTTGAATTAAAACTGTACATTGTTTTCTCTATCACAACTACATTTCTGGCGGCATGATAAAAGCTTTGGAACTGCCTTTGAACCATCATATTGAAAGGTTGATAAGGTTAATGAAGTAATAGAATTGTTGTTTACTAAATCACTTCAAAATGTTATAACTGTCACGCTTAATCAAGTATCAAAATAATTGGCAATTATTTTTTGTGTTGGTCAACTAATAGTTTAATGGAATATTTGCAACCCAAAGTGAATCTTATTCAGTTTTATTCTAATAATTTCCCCTTGGGCACAATGAAGTTGTTTTATTAACTCTGATTTATTAACTCTGTATAAAATGTGGACATTAAAGACATTAACCATTTGGTGTTCTCTCAGAAAAACGTTTCTATTAATCACTGAAAACATATCTGTTATGAAATATTCCTTATATATTTGTTTTCGTTAAAACGATTACCGCAGGCGCTCCCCGTTCCCTGCATCCCGCGCACTATTTAACAGGAGGTCCTCGGTCCTCCGCGCAGTAATCCACGTGCGGTGAGGAGGCTCCGCTTGTCAGTCAGACTTTGAACAGCGCGCTGGCGCTCATCATCACTACTAATCTTCGGCCGCCGCTTGTCATCAACGAAGGCAGCTTCTGACAGTCGTCCCCTACCGGCTTTAGAAATATAGATTAAGATGAACAGTTGCTGAGACAGGGCAGGAAACCCGAGGGCAACACCGCGGGGACCGAGCGGAGATAAAGAAAACCCACCTCAGCGGCGCCGTTTAACGCTCTTGTTCGGGAGTTGCGATGGTCCAGTCAAGGGATGTTTTTCTAGCCTTGCTTCTCGTGGGCTGTACAGGTAAGGGAAACCTCGCAATCGACATGGAAATGTTAAGGTTTCGTTTTTGGAATATCGCCGCCTTTAAAAAAAATATCGGTCCGTAACGGCCGGCGGGCATCCACGCGCCTCCCGGTGTCCCTCCGCCCGCGGCCCCTCCGTTCAGCAGGTGCAACGGTAAGGCGACTGCGACTCTTGCTAATTAGCTTCCCAACGAGCAGCGGGGATGAGTGAACAAAAAAACAAAAAAAAGTAAAGTAAAGACATCGTGCTGCCATTTTCTCCGGACACACGGACACATAATGCATAATAACCCATTTAACTCTTTGCGTGACCAGCGTCCACGCTGCTGATTTAGCGCTATTCTGCATTAAATAAAACATGATGTCCAGAAAAGGAAAACGCCTGTACATTGCGCGGGAATTAATGTGAGCATTTACCGTAACGTCACGTCATGTTTTTAGGGATTTTCAAAAAGCGTATTATGTTGTGCCTGTTTTAATGAGCGCGTTGGCGTCTCCCTGCATGGGACGTGTTTGTTGTTGATGGGCAGTGATGCGGGGCTCCTTTTGGACCCCCCCCCCCCGCCCCCCGCCCTCCTACAACCCCTCTCCGCACCACAGGCTCCAAAGCGCCTTCCCGGGGAAAGTCACGTTCTTCTCTGTTAAAGGTGCATTGCACAAAACGAAACACATGGCATGTTTTTGGAGGTGCATCCTGGAACATAACCCGGTGTTAAGGCACCGACGGGGGTGGGGGGTCGTGACTGGATGCGCGTCCTGCACGTCCACCGAAGGCTCTGTCGTGTGTGTGCGTGTGTGTGTGTGTGTTTGGTCTCTCGTGCCCACTGATGCATAACAAGCACAACTTCTACTCTGAATCATCTGTTATGTAATCTGATGCCACGATAAAGGCTTTGAAATGAGAGCCTCTAAGTTGGTGAAATGTGCCCTTATGTAATTGTATTTGTAGGAGTTTTGTGTCAAATTGCGTTTTTTAATAGCCGTGGCATACCCGTTTTTTTGATTAAAATCAGTCATTTGACATGAGAGGCGATTATGGTGGGTGTAGTACTCTCTGCTGGACTCAGGCTCAGGGTTTTCAGAGGACAGCCTTTTTAATCCTGTATGTACAATCCAGTACGTGTAGAGGTGTCCTCGGGCGAGGGAGGGACACGCGGGAAGTCGAGCCTTCACTACATTGTAATGGTAATGCAATTTCACTTTGGCTCATTGGAACATTTAATGTTGAAATGTCCATTTTTTTTATCAGACCTTTATGATGGGATTCAGTCTCCTCCAAATTTAATTAAAGAACATTCTAATGAATTGGACACATTATTTACGGCCAATTGCCCTTAAACTCTGACAATGACACGGACAATATATTAAATAATAAACTCAACTAAAATTCTCCTTTCCTGTTTAAGGGAAAATATCTTTTTAGATTTTTGCTTTACATGTAATCTTCAACCATCTGAAGCTAATAAATGTGCACTCAAGTTATTCGACTGACTCCACGGCAAGGCAAGGGAATTGTATTTGGACAACAAGGCAATTCAAAGCGCTTCACATAAAACCATTAAAAACGTCCAAACACAAAGCGAGGAGATTTGAGAACAGCTAAGAACATCGATTGGAACATGAAAAACAATCATTAAAACGATTTAAAAGAAGACAATATTAAAAACTAAAAATAGAATAAAATTTGCAGAGTAGTTTAAAAGCACCAACATTTACAAATGCAGAAATGGTCAATTAAAGGCAGCAGCTAACAGAAACCTCTTTATTCTGTATTTAACAGAGCTGAGGGATCAGCAGATCTGCAGCTTTCTGGGACTGAGTATATGTGGAGCAGAAAAGCTGTTTGTTTCTTACTCTGGGAAAAGAAAGTAGACCAGTCCCAGACGACCTAAGGGGTCGTGGCGGTTTATAAGGCATCAGCGGATCAGAAAATTGCCCTAAACCATGCTTTCTTTTGAAACCAACAGTAGTATTTTGAAGTTGATTCTTTGTTTGACAGTAAGCCAGCCAGTGTAAAGACCGGAGAACTGGAATGATGTCATCCACTTTCCCGCTCCTAATTGTGGCACTATTTGTAAATGACAAATTGAAAACTGTAGTGACAGTTTCTTGTCACTATATTAGCCTTTTCTGCTGAAGCCTACTTGTGGTGCATGTACATGCCTGGCAGACTTGAATTGCACAATGTTATTGGGACAGGCAAAATAGGGTTCAGCTGGAATAACCTGAGACATATTCCCTAAATATATAATTATGTACAATATAAGGTCGAAGATGAAACCATTAGTGTTGAATATGGAGATGACAGAGATGAGATGATTCCGACCTTTCAATAGACAGATCTCTTTTTCACATAACTAGGCCACCACTGAAACTGAAATAACAATGTTTTTTCTCTACTCCTTTCATTAATATGTCTTCTATTGTAGAGTTTTGCGCTGCACAAATGTTAGAAATAGTATAAACGACAGTTTTGGTGTTTTATGCAGAACAAAGACAAATTGCAAACTGACTTCATAGATGATCTGGCCGAGTTGCTGTGCTCATGGCTGAACTGAGATTTGAAGGGCTTAACATCTTTCTCTTTCCCTTTCCCTTCTGCTGGCTGCATGCTCAATGGGCCCGTTGAGCCTTTTGACATAGTTATTAATTGATCCTCTTCGAACTGATAACTGCAATGTGGAGGAATTTCGAGACTGCATTTCTGACACAAAATGAAATATAGACACCAGAATCCAAATAAAAATGAAGCGAAGCGAAAACCAGGCCAGCGAAGAGAAGAGTTTCCAATGTCCTCCACCTGTGGGATATGATGAATGAAAGGCAATCTTCATCTCACCACATGACTCTTGCTTCAACGGCACAAGTTGGCACGCTGGTTTACTGCAGGATTGTTTCACTTAGCACGTGTTACATCATCAGTCGGACCACGCGGGAACGATGACGTACGCCGCTTCATCTACAAAGCAGGATGGAATCATGGCTGACTGCAGGGCCGACTTATAAAACCTCCTGACTTCTTCGCGTCTCACTTCACTTCATCCGGAAGGAAATTAACTTTGCCAAAAGCAATGGCTGAAAGTCCAACGGCTCCAACTTGATAGAATGATTGCTTCTGAGCAGTGTGTGCAGACCGTGCACCGCCAGCAGTCCTTCCCAAATACTGTATAGTCGAGAAGTCAAGAGAATGCTCACATTTGAGAAGCTGGGACCAAGCAAATGTTTGGCATCATCTGTTAATCAGTGACTCAAACGATTAACTTATCCTCAACATTATTATCAGTTTAGTTTTCTGTCAAGTGAGTTTGGCCTTTCAACACTACATGGGGTTGTGGCTCTGCGCTTCACTACGCCAATAATGCAACACCTCATCAAGCATTTGATTGAAACCAACCTTTTTATGAAGCAAAGCAGCAGGAGAGGTGGAACTGTCATCTGCCGTTGCTTAGCGTGCCTTCCAATAGGAGCGTCAAGCCACCCCCTGCAACATCATATTAAAGTCCGACAGATGTTTGAAGAAAGGTACATTTGGGATATCCAACCAAAACCCAACCCAACGATATCTGAGAAACAACTGTGAGCCACAAACTGTTTTATCTAGGCCTATTTGGTCAAGTCATTTGAACAAATCCACATGTGCACTCGGCTATCTTAACCGGGGAGTGAGTGAAATAGCGGTTCCCTTTCAACCCGACTACGCTGCAGCGTTAAAGCTCCCATATCTCTAGCACATCATAGTACATGCTCCGTTTTTTTTCATTCAGCGTTCGCAGGGGGAAGGACGAGAGAGAGACAGAGACGGTGGTTTTGTTCCAGCCAGGGCCGCTTAACTCTTTTAGTGATAGGGAGAGGATCGGACAGATCCAGGTCTGAGGCAGTTGATGGGAGCTGCTTGGCCTTAGGACTGTATAAAAAGATGACATTACACATGCATGTGACCCTGTGATGCATTGTGGGAGCAGCGTAAACATCCTCTCCCCAGGGTTAGCTCACCCATGAGGCTTAGTGTTTTTTTTTCCTCTTTTTTTGGTGATTACTTCGTTGAGGCCTGAGATATTATATTATACATTAGGGATCATTTTGCAGAAGAGGTTAAACACAGCATGTCGCCCGGCAAACTAGCTTGTTTTTGTATCCTGTTACTATGTACGTGAGTACTTAAACACCTGCTTCACATCGCTTGTTAGCTCAAGATTGGAATCCCACTAACGTCAGACCACGGCGGGTCTGCGTCTGTCAAAACTGAAAACGTGTTAAGATCTTAGAGCAATCAGGAAATTAGAGCAGCGTGTCCTCGTCATCCATCGAATCAAAAAGAGGCTGCCGCTGCGAACACTGGATCCCTGTGGACCTGTAACCCTAGTTTGGGAAAACCTTGAGGCATTATACGGCCTCTCTCCACTTTGAAGCATTTATTCTGTGGGCCAAAAAATCCTTTGGCAGGGGGAATGTTTTTTTTGCAGTTTTTTTGCAGGTATTTTTCGATGACAGCGATGCCATTTTCCTTTCCAATTCTCAGTTGAACCGTCACCTTCATCTGTGTAAATGACGGGTGCACTTGGCGAATTGTTTTAACCTTTTTCTCTCTATGGTCATGCACCTGCAAATGAAGAATGATTCCCCAGTTTCCTTTGGCTTGTAAGAGCTCAAGGCCCCGTCGGTCTCCCCCTGTCTTTTTTGGGTGTGGGAAAAGCAGGGAAAAGCAGGGAAAAGCAGTCATCACAGTGTTGTATCGTTGCCCAGGTTGTCCACGGAAGAGAAAAATGGCTTCCGAAACAAATGCTTACCATGCCAACTCCCGAAAGTGAGCTTCACAGTGTGACCAATTTTAAGCAAACGAGTGCACGTCTCATCTTACCACATTAAAGTTACTTGCTGTTGGCTAGGATTTAGTTCGCAACTTCTTTTAATGGGTGTGAGAGGAAGCAGCCTGTGTGCGCTCTCATGCATCCGTGCACATCATGGTGCATTCATTATTGAAACACTAAAGGAGGCATC